CGGCTCTGCTCCGGCTTCTCGGCTGCTGCTCCCAGAGTTCCGGCTCCGGCGGGCCACCTGGCCACAGGCGCCGGACGCCAATGCCAGGTTTTACTTAGTGCGCTTCTCGCTTCCGCCTCTCGTTCGCACCGCTGGGGCGGCAACCAAGCGGTATGGCCCCATGATTCCCGCTGGCCATACCCCCTCAGTCTGTCGCCATCTTCCACTGTGCGGAGAACACCTTGAGAGCCCGGGTGCGAGTGTGTTTGGTGGGGAGCGGGGCGGAGAAAGAGGCATGAGGAGGAGGAGGGAGCCGGACTGGGGCCGCGACTGCGCCTGCGCCTCAGGACTCTTCCCACCCCCCAGCTTTCCCGGGCCGCAGCCTATACTGTTTGGGGATGTTTCCCAGTCCACCCCCAACTCCATTCACTTCAGCGCTTCTGATCATCTGCCCGCTCCCAGGGTGCACACGGCACAAGCCGAGCCTCGGGCCCTGAAGCTCCTCCTCCCTCGCCAACCCAGGCGCCCGCCCTCCTCTCCGGGGCCGTCGCTCACTCCCCACGAGGGCTCGGGGGCTTTCTGGGGGCGATTCTTGGAGGCAAGAGGCAGCTCCGTAACACCCAGCTGCCTCCCCTGGTTGCCTCCCCCGTCTCCGTGACTGGAGGAGGCTGGAGTGGCTGCGGATCGGATCAGTACCATGTCCCTAACTCCGCTGTCTCCCTCACTGTCCTGCTGGAGGCCAAGGCTGCCCCTGGTGCTGAAGGACAGCTCCCAGCTTAACAGCTGTGCAGGACAGAGCTTGAAGAGAGTCCTGGAGAGGGCAAGTCTGTGGGCTAAGATGGTTTGTAGTGATGGGGTGTCGTTTCTGCCCTTAGTAAGATTTCCAGCAGCCTCTCCTCCGTCCTAGCTTCCTGGCTCCCCCTATAGGCTGCTGAGAATAGCCGAGCGAGAGTTAGGGAGGCTGCACTGCCTGGGTGGAACCATGTGCTTGGGGCCCTCACAACGTCACATGGCACTAGGAACTCGGGAGCAGACGTCCTGCAGCGCCACTAACCTTGTTTGGATTCCACCAAATCTCAAAGTGGTCTGGTTGTCTACTTCTTTTTCTCACTCCATCCCACTCTCAGTAACTCCCACATTCTAATTTTTAATCAAGCATTAAGGATTTGCTAATATTGAGAATAATAACAATAAAGAAAATACTCTTTTTTTGCGTGTATACTAGGTGTTCGGTTACTGTTCTTGGCACTTTACACACATAATTTAATTTAATCTTCACAACAATCTTATGAAGTAGGCACTTCTGTCATCTTCATTTATATATGAGAAAACTGAGGTTTAGAGTGGTTAAGTTGCCTCAGATTACACAACTAGTAACCAATGAAGTCAAGATAGAAACCCAGGCAGTTTGGATCTAGTAAAGCCGTGGAAAAATGAAGGGATAGAAGACACAGTCCTTCCTGACTGACAGGAAATTATAGTCTACATGAGGGAACAAGGCATATATGTTGGCTAGGGGGAGGATTCATGGACTGGAGACTTAAGTTTAGGTAATAGTTCTACCGCTGAACATGCAATGTCCCCTTGAGAGAGTCCTTTCTCTCTCTGAGTCTTGGTTTTCCCTGAGCAACATGAAGGAATGCCAAGAGCTAGATGGATGGGAATCATTAGCACTATTCAGAGGTGGGCCTGGGTAGGCTGGGGTGGATGCAGGAAAAGTTTGGAATAAGGAGGGTTTGAGCTGGTTCCTAAAGAAGTAGTGGGATTTGGGTAGATGAGTAAGATGCAGGTGAAAGATTTCAGGGATGAGAAGGAGCCTTGTATGGTTGTGAAGCCATGAGTGTGACAGTTTAGCTGTATTGGTGGTGAGAACTTGTGGGGAATGGAATAGAGGGATATGAAACAAAGGACAAGAATGTCAGGTCTTTGGCAGGCCTGTTCATTCATTATGTTCCAAGTACTATGCTGGAGGATAGGTAGAAGGCTCAGGTGGATCAAACATGGCTCTACCCTCGACATGGACACAGGTGAATTAAGGAAGCAGACATTTTAAAGGAGGTATTGCAACAAAGTGGAACAAGAATGATATGAATGGGAGGGAATGGCTTCCTCCCATAGAGGTGAGCACTGACCAATTCTGTCAGCTTCCCTCAGAGATGATTTTGCACACAGTCACTTGAATTGGGGGGAATCTGTTCATTTATTTATTCAGCAAACGTCTATTGAGGATCTGTTATGTTCCAGACACTGTACTAGGCATACAAGATATAGAAATGAGTAAAATACATGTCTTGGGCTGAAAGAGTTTAGTTGAGGTCTTAAGGAATGGGTAAGAATTGACTAGATAGGAGAGAAGGTGGTGTGTGAAGGATGTCCCATGCAAAGGAAATGCCATGTGTAAAGGTCCAGAAGCAAAGCCAAGAATGGCATGCTCAGAAACTTGCAAAGTAGTTCAATGTGACTAGGTGTGAAAGAGGAGCACTTCCAAAAATGAAGCTGAGGATTTGGCAGGAACCAAATCACAAAAGGCCCTGGGTGCCATGCTAAGTAGTTTGGACTTTATCCCAAGGGGACAAAGAGCCACAGAAGAGGTTGAAAGATTTTCAGCAGATCCGTATTTTTAGAAAATTGATTTGGCTGCAGGATGGAGACTAGATTAGAACAGGGGTTGGGAGGAGACTTGAGGCAAGGAAACTGGTTAGGAGACTGGTTAGTAGTCCAGGTGAGAGATAATAGGGATGAACAAAGAATGCAGTATTAGGGGTGGGACAAAGAAGTGCATATGGGAGGGAAATAACAGAGGTAAAATTGAAATGACCTAGGACTGGTTTAACTGTAAGGCATAAAGTAGAGACAGGGCCTGAAGAAGGAAGATGAAACCAAAGGGTGTGAGTTAATGACACTGTCATGACTGCCCCTGCCCACCGAGCAACTGCTTCTTTCCAGAGCAATTCTTTTTTCAGTGCTTGGAGGGTTCAGTGTTCTGTTTTAACAAAGAACGCTAATGGCTTAGATACCTAGTTCAGAGCTGATTGGCACAGCCACAGTGATTGACACTCTTGAGTGTCAATGAAAGAGCAGCCTGCCAGGCCTAGGCTATCAGCTCCAAGCACCTCTGAAGTTTTCTGTGGGAAGTCACTCAAGCAAGACCACTTCTTCTCCCCCAGCACACATAGGGCAAAGTGTCTCACAAAGGTCCATTTCTCCCAAGAACACAATATAGTAATAACCCACACGGTACCCGCTGCACACGAAAGAGAAGAGGTAGCACACCAGTGGTCAGAAGAAGCTCATTCTCTCCCTCTAGATGACACAAGAAATTGGGATGGGAGGAGGGAAGGCACTGGCCTCGAATCAGGACCCTGGAGCAAAATAACCAGGTGAGAAGGGGGTTGTTGTTCTCCAGAACTGGTAGGTCCTGGCCAGCCTTCCTCCCAGACCTTTCTCCCCACCCACTTCCAGGTCAGCAGAGGACAAAGGTGAGTCACTTCTGAGGGCACTCAGAGTGCTCAGGAAGAGTGATAGAGTGCTCTCAAACCCACTGGGTGAAGTCCCCTTGGAGTAGAAGGAGGAGGGGAAGGTTTTCTGCAGTGAAATTCTTACAATTAGGAAGAAGAAAAAGTGGTAACTGTTTAGAAAGACCAATGTGATTACACATTTGTTAACTTTCTGTTAAGTTCAGATCTTAAAAGGTCATGGGCAAAAGATGGAAACAAGAAATTAAGGGTGAATGTAAGAACCTGTAAAAAGAGTGTCAAGATGCCTAAAGCACAGCTTGAGCTGAAGCTTGTTGGGCTCTGCCTAGATCCCACCCTCTGTTCCCCTACTTCTTCTGTAGTTGGAGTAATTTCCCCCCACCTGCAGACTGCACCTGTCCTAAGACAGGAAGGATCGAAATAACTTGGCCTTACATACTAGAACTAAGTATCAAGTAGTTCCTTTGCCACCAGTCTGATCTCAAGTTTCCACTGAACTTCTATTGCTCAGTTCTGATCCCTTGCCATCTGTCTCATGTCCTATATCTGAGTTTCCCAGTCAGAGACCCTGCCTGACCAC